AAAAAAACGAAGTCCAGATGACATGATTCAACCTTTTTTGTTGTTATATACCTGGATGACTGAGAAAACAAACTTTGTGTTTTTGAAACCATTAGTGAAAAGGCCAGACTTCAGGGGTATCTGAGGCAGGCTTGAAACACAAGAGTCAGGGTGGCTTCTGGGTAATACCAGATGGCTGGGCCTCAGACTGACGAGGCGTCTTGGATGAGGGGTGAAACGTTTCTTTTTAACAAAAAAACGAAGTCCAGATGACATGATTCAACCTTTTTTGTTGTGGGCAAAACAGTTTTTGTCTAAGTTTGTGTGCGTTTCTGTCTGTTAAGAAAATATCTCATGAACCACTGGACAGATTTTAATCAAATTTACAGAAAGTATTCATTGGATGTACCTGGACTGACAACACATACTGAGTGTGACACTTCATACTAATCACATAAAATTGCAAAGACCATTATTTGTACAATTAAATGGCTACAACTCCACCATTTTTCAACAATATATGATCTTCGTCCAAGATTCTGGCATAAACTGTCAGGGGAATTTAGGTAAAGGTTTATGGATTTTTATCATTGCTAATGTTAAATTAATGGTGAACCATGGGTGTGAGTTCAGAGAGTTTGTTTTCCGCTCAGAGGAAACTTTAGGCACCTGATGCCTCCGAGTCTAAGAGGCCGAGGTTATTGTGCTGATAAGAGCGTATAAAAAACACTTCCTGTTCACAGCCCGTTGCAGATCTTTGTGACCGGGGCTTCAGTGCAACAGCTGTGTAAGCCTGTGTGAACATCTGCCCTTGCAAGTAAACTGGATTAAAAAATCTTCTCCTGTCCTCGTGTGTGGCTCCTTTTTTGTAAGTAGATAACAAAAATATATTTTTATCCAACACGAAACTTAGCAGGTGTTAAGCATTCCTTTAAGGGATGCTCAGCATTATATTAAGTGATGAGAATACCAAGAATGTATTGCCTGACTGCAAAACACATTTTCATATCAATAGTATTTTAAAAATCCAATAAAATATTTTGCTTTTGTTCACAATTTACACCCCTTAAATGGACTTAAAATAAATATAAGTACAGTAATCCTTTGCTACTTCATGGTTCGTTTATCACGGACTCGCTCTATCGTGATTTTTCAAACTAAGATTGGACATGACACACAATTGGCTGATTGATGGATGAGCCACATTATCGGCATGGAATCTTAATTTAAAATAAATTATTTAAAATTATTTAGCACCTGCTACACATTCGTGCAGCCCAGAGCAGCAGAAAAAGCTTCCTCGTGCAGTTTTGTGCAGCCCATACTGCAGGATAAACTTCCTGCTGCAGC